ACCTATGGGATATTCTGCGGGGATTTGCGACCACGGGAATTACTCGTCCACGGGCATTCCTCGTCCACGGGATCAGGTGCGACTTTATTATCATCAACAGCCACGTCGTCGGTTGTGGCTCGTTTCTCCTCCGGTTGTGGCGATTGGATGAGAGAATGTCGCCGTTTCCCACGTTGTCGAACCGGGCTGGAGGGTGGTGATGGAGAATAATCCATGTCCACAATGCTACCCCCCCCCCCATAAGGGGCAGAAGAGGCAGAAGATTCCGGAGCGCCGGAAGCACAGTCAGGAGCTGACTGGTTATTATTTTTATTATTTTTATTTTTTATTGAGGTGGATGACCTATCGGCACTCTCGGAGGTACTAATTTGCAGAAGATTGCAACCCGCAACCGCGGCATACGACACCAACGGCCGCGAAGGAGCAACAGGTACAGAAGGTTCTGTATTATTAGGATTAGTGCTGTCATTTGTAGCACTATCATTATTATTATTGCTATTACTTGTAGCAATATTATTAGTTCGATACTGGTAAGACGGACAGTCAGCAATGACGTGTCCCTCTTTGTGGCATTTAAAGCACACCGGCTTTTGCCCACTGTACTTCACGACACTCCAATGTCCAGCGATACGAAGACGAACGGAAATGTTCGCCGTGATTTTCATGACCACGTTGTGCTCTCCAGTGTAGATCTTTTCGTGCACCACAGATTTGATTGTTCTAATGCCTCCACTATATGGGGCAAGTGCCCTAAGGATGGCTTCATCCGGAATGCTGTACGACAAACGCGAAATATACACCCATGTAAATGGGGAAACAGATTTAAATTCCACGGGTTTGCCATGGACGAAGAAATCTTGATTTGAAAATGCCTGCATTTGGCGGGCATGGTTGAAGGTCAGGCGATATCACTCCTGTGATATCAGAACGACAGCCTCGACAACGCAAGACAACTCCCGTGACTTTAAAAGGTTGATTACATTTTTAGCGCCCTTTTTGGAAAGGGGGTAATCGGGGTGCAGAATGATATCGACGGTTCTCAATGCGTACGGTATCATTATTACTTAGGATATTAAGGCTTATTATTATTATTAGTTATTATTATTCCGTTTACAAATTACCAGCAAACGGGGTCGTATTAAAAAACTAGCATGGCATGCAGTCATGCATTCGATCATACAAGCAAGAAAGTCAGACGTTTATAGCAGAAAAAACGCCCAAAGCAGAAAGTCTTTGGTCAAATAGACCAAATAATAGCATAAAAAATGTTTATATCATGCTTACACCAGTCGAATTGTAACAACTATTGCAAAAACACTTAGGATATTAGCGTATCTTCAAGTAAAATACGCTTGACTTCGCCCACGAAGAATATATAGACGCCGTGAGCTTTTCTATATCTATGAACTGTCACTTGTAGTACCAAATCTCTAACTTAACTCATTACATAGAGGTTTGAATGGGGGTCTCTCGGGGGGTCTATGCCTGACAACTTGGTAGAAATTTTTAAAGACTATATCTGTTTTTGAATAGCATTATTGTAAAATAAATTTTACGTTCCTAGTCATGCTAATGAGCCATATATTTGGCATGATAATGAACCTAAATATTTGGCAAAACATTAAGTATTGTTCACTTCATATTTTTTTTGAAATTAAAGTTAAGGATATCTAATATAAAAGCAAAAAACAGCTGTTAGTTGTAGTGCCAATAGAAATCCGACACAGAGACAACTTGCTGGTTGGAAAAGTTGCAGTTTTTGCTACTACTACATCTTTGTCAACCTTAAATTTACTAAGCACTATATCTTAAAATACTCAAAGAAAATTTTATGTTTCATGTTTTCTCTTATATTCTAATCATTATATTAAAATAAAATGCGGATACAGATTAAATGTTTACCTCCCACAAAGTAGTGTTTCTGCACTTGCTCGTTTTAGCGCTGCAGCGGTTAATGAAAGTTTTCCCGGCATTAAATATAGCGCTTAACTGGGAGCGACCAAAAAAAGAAGTAGTCCCAAACATATATTTAAAAATATAAAAGCAATTAAGAACAATAGAAACTATAATTCTGACTGTTTTGTTCAATATCAGAGCTCATCAGCATAACTAAGCCTGCTTTTAAAACGTAGCCAGACATGGACAGTCAACTTGCAGGAAGTTTTTTTGCCAGGAAAAAGCTTTATTTTAAGTATCTGGTTTAAATCTTGGTAAATTCTGCTTTCCCCATTCAATAAATCACCTCATTTAAGCAGACATTCCTTCAATTATAGAGGCGAAAATTAGTATTTGGGGTAGCTCGCTACATAAAAGCAGGTATCTTTCAAAATAAAAAAAGGAGAAAATGACTAAATGGAGTCACCAAGTAGAAGTAAATATCCATCCATCTATACTAAACAAATTACTACATTGTGCTACCACATTGAATCAGAAGAAAAAAATTACACAGGGTCACCACATTAAAGTAAATATTTTCATCAGCTATACTAACCAAATTACTTATGGGGTCACCACCACATTAAAGTGGATTTACCCTCAAGTACAAAAGGGAAAATTACTATATGATGTAAACACTGTAACGTGCGTGGTCCAGAAAGAATGCCTTTTCATTTTGGTTCTCATTAAGGATAGTGTTAAGCAGTCACATTCCTCAAACAATTGATATGTAAAGGTCTTAATAATAATATTAACAAGTATAATTAGTGAAACTTATTTCATCTGTCTGAGTATAACTGCGAGTCTTTATTCTTGTGCGTTCGTGAGTCCAACAATGACTTACAACAGTTTTCCAAATAGATTAAAGGCACAGAAGCCAAAACATAGTAATGGCACAAAGTCAAGATAGTCTTGTGATACGTTGTAGCTTGTCAATCTACCTAGGTAGGCTATGTCTCCTAAGGTTGTCTCCTAGTAGGTTGTCCTCGTAGGTTGTCCTCAGTGGTCTTAAATTTTCACATATAAATAAATAATATCCAATGGGAAATATCGTGGTTTTGTGAAAAACATCCCATACGCAATACAGTATATTCCAGTATAATATATCAAATTTAATTAATCTCAATAACAAACCATAACAACAAAATCTGTAGCTCTAAAATATGTGTTTACGCATGTAAGCAAGCTTCTAGATGTCCTAATTGTAATTACAATGCCAAATGTATAGTAAAGCTAAAATATAACAATATAATAAGAAATGTACAATGATATAAATTAATGTTAGTTTATAATTGATTTTACGTGATAACAGTTGCTATCATGTAACAAGCACATTAAGGCAGATATCTTCCCAACAACAAAGGAAAAGTAAAAGCAGTTTGATTAGTGAAAAATCATATAAAGAATGATATCTTTCCTTAAGAAGTTCAATTTTATTTGGTGGTATGAGGCATCTAAGAACCAATGTTTAAATAAACAATCTCGTGCTTTGAAAGAAATGGCCACCAACTGCTTCACGTGTTCGTGCATGTGAGCGTATAACGTAGCAGTTACTAACAACAGCTTCAAACTTGTTAAAAAAGCATGTGTTTACGGAATCGTTTTCTGATGTTATTCAAAAATAAACGCATAGAGGTGTTGAGGCATTTAAATTGATGGGGGTTAATCTTTATTTAGTCAATTATGATGTTTCCTATTAAATTCCTACTTCGGAATGAAAAATATCAAGCCCATCCTATCACATATTTTAAGAATCAATCATAGACTATCAACTTTGCAATTCTAAATCAACTCAGCCATAGCAGATTACAGCCGTAATTATTGTCAGTTTCAACACAGTTAAAGATAAAATCTTTCCTCACTCATTTCTATACAATTTCAGTGTTGTCAGATGTATAGAAGAATTGTTTTAGAGTGATAGCGATTGCAGTATAAACATCAATATGGCAACTATAGATATTGCGAGTGTGACGCAGTTCTTTATCGTCTCCCACTGGTAGCCAAAACGAATATGGAACTTAAGTTTATAATGCACTTTAAGACACGTAAGAAAACTAAGCTAAATATTTTCGAGATAGCGTACATTCAGTATTTTTCTATATAGAAACAAATGTCATAAGTTGAGACAACTCTTTGATTAAATAACTGTATTATAAGGAGACTTGACAGGCGAATTTGGTTGTAAAATGCTGTAAGTGGAACAACAGCATTTTTTATCGACTTCAGGTGTGGTCTGATTTTTCCTCTTAATAGTTGAAATTTGTTAAAAATCAGCTCAAAAAGTGTTTTTTGGATTTGGTTTGTTACCTGTCTATTTTTTATAATAATAAAATGCGAGGACAACAATCGTGCATTTGTTTCTCTGCCAGGGTACATCGCATTTGCTATAAATCATGTGACTACGAACGAACATATCACCTTTAACACACAGTTCGTATACAACTGTTAGCACGTACTCATTGGCACTTAGGAAATCAGTCTGATTTTTGATTTGAGGACCACTTTCATACGCATCAGATGCAGCTCTTAAATTTATCACTTTCTCAGCTCAGTTCTAAAAAGCTATAATGGATTTTAGTAAGCATTTTATTATAAAACGGTAAATGATTTAAAATAAAATCGCTTGAACTATTCAAAATTTCTTTATAACTCCAACTTTTGAAATAGTCATCTCTGATGTTTATTATTCAACTTAGAAATTTCCTAACCTAAAACCTCTATGATTTAGTATATAAATTTTCATGCATTTTTGCTTCATTAAGTTAAATAATTTCTAATTATTTTATAGGTAATAAAGATGGAGATTTTAATGTTAGTCTTTTTATTGATCGCAAGCAAGTGTGATTATTTAGTATATTTGACTAGTGAATGCCTTACATCAATGCAGTTTATTGGCTTCTGTCATGATATATTTTCTCTTGTTGAAATGTGCAATGCTCTTTTTTTTATACGTAAAGAATTCGTTTTTAACTAAGGAAATTGTTTTTTTTTAACTTCTAACATTACTCTTGCTTTAATGCTTGATAACAAAAGCTTTCCACATTAATTTTTTTAATTTTTTTTAGTTTGTAAACTTTCTTGTCCTGGCCACCAGGAATGGAAAAATACTCGAAGCTGGTTTTCATTTTAGCTATTGCGTGGGTTGTTTACTTTATACTCTATTCTCGTATGGTCACAAATAAATTAAATGGTAAAAAGAGAACTCATGGTGTCCAAATTTTTTCCAACGCTGAAGCTATCAAGTTACCATCCGTGAGTTTGTTTGTGCGATTGACGGGGATGCATATAAAGCGATTTTATTGCGACTTTTTAAGAACAATGGTACTTTTTTGGCCACCATCTTACGGTAATCTTGTCGTAGTATTGGATGAGGAGTCGCAACTTGATCGAAAACTGGCAGCAATCATGGAAGATCACTTTGCTAAGTACTTTCCCAAACGGATTTTAAAAATTGTGTATGAATCATTACCCGAAGGTCATGAAACACTATTGAAATTGCCATGGCCTAAACGAGACACTGGTTACAACAGACAAATATGGAGCAGTTTTTACAATGATTTGTACACAAACGATACGGTCATAGCATGGGTTGATTCCGACACTGCGTTTTCAGCCTCTGTAACTGATCGCTCGATGTATAATGGCACAAAGCTGAGGGTTATCGGAACGGACTGCACACTACGAAGAGTTAAATTCGCTAGACTATGCGACAAAAATGTATTTTTTGCACTTGGACAAGCAGCTGTTGCCGACTTTATGCTCCACTTTCCAATTTATATTTATAGGGATACATTTGCTAATTGTAGAAAATTCTTAATAAAGCGCTTCAAAGCTCAGGACTTTGAGGAGGTTTATAAAAGTTTGAGTGCACATGGACTCATATGTCCCGTCACTTTAGTACTTAACTATGCATGGCACTTTGAGCGAGAACGTTACGAATGGAGTCTAAAGATTTGTACTGCATCCCTTGATCAATACAACAGGAAATTTGGGGGAAATGCAAAAATCAGACCGTCTGATATTCGACAAATTCTATCTGATCCCCAGCTAAGTATTCATACAGGTAAACCTGGGTCAGCGCTCGCTTCGGCTCAGTTAATACTAACTAGTTACTGCTTATCAAACAAAGAGGCAGGAATAACAGCAGAACATTGTGTAAACGACGCAGATTATAATATCACGAATGCTTTAACCCTTTTAAAATATGGAAGAGCACCAAAGACTTGTGTTAGAGAGATGCTTGAAAAATGCCTTGATATCCTGCGACAACATTATCGTCTTGTCGGTTCTGAAATAAGGAGTAAAAAACGTGTAATGAATTGGAGTGACGTTGTTCTTGTCGAAACCCTTGTTCAAGACGTCAATGGCAAATGTCCAACGATTCACACCGGAAGCCCAAGGAAAAGAATTCCTATCGTATAATCGTGTTTTTGTTATTGATGTCTTTGCCTTTTTTTGAAAAACAATTACACAATAATGCACATTCTTCAAATTCGTCCACATATACGCATGCCTTGTTTTTTCATTGTTCCTTATTAATTATAATGTTTTAAAAACTTATTACAATTAGAATGCATCATTTGAGTAGTTATAGAAGTTGCTCTAGAATGCATAGCGATATAACAATATATTAATTTTGACGGATCTATTTGATTTTCTTTAACCTTTGTGAAATTTTTTATCTAATTCAATTTAAATGTGTCCGAAGTAGTGTTTGTTAAAATAAATATTATTAAGTGCTTAAATTTTCTTTTGATGTTGATTTTAAGCATTAGGTTGGAAGATCAATAACTATATAGACTGCACACATAATTGAGCTCAATAAGTACAGAATGAAAAAAAATTTATCATGGTCCTTCATACATAAGGAACATGCAAACTTTATCATCCTGACTATTCATATTAATGCGTTAAATGTGCATTTGTCATCACTGCGGATCATAATTTTTTTTTTAACCAAATTGCCGAAGGCAGGATATTAAATATCTAGGTGTGTCCAAACCCAGATAGCACATTTACGTTCTTATAACGTACATGTAATATTAAGCTTATGTTCTTCAAACGATCTGATCACACTTTATCGGGATGTTTCTCTATTGACTCCGCTTCCCTAAACCTCCGAACGAGCGTTTGTAAAAACGTGCGTTCGTAAAACGGGCATAAACCAAAATATTTGCTTTAGAATTTTCGTACTACATTCATCTAACATAAAATAGCTAATTATGTTTATGTAGTTCCTTACATATTAACACCCAAAAATTAGAATTTATGCCTTATGCAATAATTGTCATCTACTAAATTATTTAAAATTAATGAGTACATTATGCATCCAGTTATGCATTTTGAGCCAGGCTTATAAACCACAAAATTATATTAAGGATATGTATTGTGTGTGCAGTTTTGTTTACCAATGTATCAAATTCACACACGGCCAACAGGCAAGAAGCACTTGCTGACGTTAGTCAAACTTCCTTATGTACCATATATAGCTTAAATAGTAGAGCTATTTCTGGAAATAATAATATTTGTTATTTGCCATGAATACTATAAATGCTGCTAAATAAATAAAAAAATCAGCTCGTTCGATGAGTTCACCCGTAGTTGTTATTGAAAGTGTAAAATGTACGACGAAATAGTGATAGGGCAAGTGAAGTGAACTGAACAATACAGTTCTGTGCATACGAAAATGTTTCTTCCACGTTCTCTAAACGCAAACGCAAAATACGTAGTTCCAAGAAGTGAAGATTATGTATTTATGGTAAAGTCAACGTTAGCTTGTAATGCTCTAAACAAGAATCACTGTGTGGGTTCCATCGAGTGTCTTTTCCCCAACAATTCTTTTCCTGCTATTTTCCGCATTCATTTTGCTAAAAAATTCAAAACTTCTTTATACCACAATCTAGAAAATGATCAACATTAGCTCTCATGTCATCAACATCTTGCACTTGCTGTACTTACTTTCTCGTCAGTCACATCTCTGTTTCCCAACACCACATACAACGCCTTTTTTGCTGCTTTTACCATGATTTCAAACTCTCAACCAAAGTAAAGTGCCCCTGGAGGGTTAAAAACCCATTTAACATTTTTATGTGCTGCGTATCTCTGAATTTTTACCTTGTCGACTTTGCTGACTAACTCATTTAATTCCCTGACGGCACCAACGAAATTTGTTCCATTGTCACTCATTATCTCTGAAGGCGTTCTCTGCCTGCTCGTAAATCTTTCAAATGCATTGAAGAAACTATCGTTTTTTGTGCAGTAATCATTAAAAGACCATCCACCACATCAGTACATTTTCCCCGCAAAAGCTGTGTAATAAAAAGCGTTGTATAAAGAACATTCTTGGCAATAATTAAACAAACAATAAAATCAAACGCTGTAACTTGAGATAAAAAAGATGAAACATCAGCTGAAACAGAATAATTAAAATTACCCCCTGTATTGTTTATCATATCCAGCAAAATGCTGACTAAAGGAAAAAAAACAATTCAAAAAATGTCTTCATGTTTTTCACACGTTTCACCTATCTAGTCTTGAAAAGAGTTTCAATTTCCTTTTTTGTTTCCAAGGCCAGAACAGTAGTTATGGTGCAGGTATGGTCCCGGAAGTAAACGGAGCTCTTACCCGTGTCAATTAGTTTCCAGTCCTAGGAAGTAAACAGGGCGCGCGCGTGTAAACCGGAAACGATATAAAATGAACGAAGGTTGCTATTGGATGACATGATTAATTGAAACACGATAAAACGTAATTAAAATTGTCAATTGTTTTCTATTCTTAAAGCAATATTAGGTCCGTTTTCTTGTTTCCTTTGCAAATATAAAAAAGGAGAACACGTTACAATTTTATTGAGTTAAAGTTGTTTGGTAATTTTTGTCTTACTAAAACGAAAATGGCTTTAAAATTAGACATTGAGCAAGCAAAGAAAGTGAAGGAATCGTCCTTCGAATTTGAAGATGAGAGCCATGTTTTAGATGAACGCCAAAGCAATATACAGAATAAATTGTTGAAGTGCTATGCTACTGAAATTGGTTTTAAAATATATGATCTTGTGGCAAAAGACTGTGACGGTTGTCGCGTTGACCATCTCTCACAAAAACGCCATGAATGCTTGATGATGCCTAATGATGAATGGGTAGCGATTTACTTTAAAGATGCAGTATCAAAAATTGATGAGGAAGAAGTCATGAAATCCTTCTTTGATAGTTTACAAGACATGACTCCGATAGTAATTGGGCTAGAACTTATCAAGTACACTTGTAATGATTGGAGAAAAATATTTTTGACAGAAAAAAAGAACAAATTAGAACATGAGACGTTGATATTCTTAAATACATTTTATTGAAATAAAACATTTTTATTTTATTGGAAAAAACTAGCAACGATCACTCTGAAATAAAAAGAAATCAATCTTACTGACTGTTCTACTGTATCAATTTTCAAAAGATAAAGAATTATAAAAATACATACTCAAAAAAATCTTCGAGAAATCTGTCGACTTCTTCGTCAAAACATCTAGAGTATAACGCAATGGACTTACATAAAAAAAAAACACGACTACAACATTCAGCAAGCATATTAATTATTTGACTTACAAGCATATGGGACATTGAAATGGCAAGCATTCCACAAGCCTCTCTTCTACCTAAGATAAATGTACTTTATGCCCGCAGCTCGGTGGACAGATCACCCATAGTTTGCAGTGTTCACATTGGCCTAAAACAATGAACAAAGTCACAACTTAAATTTTCTAAAGTCATATCTAACATTGAAATTTTATTCCAATTCAACTTACTCAAAATGGGTCTGATTGGTTGAGATGTAGCCATTCCTCTATCTGTTGTTTCTCTTTGCTCTCTTTGCCTTGGCCGTTGACTGATGATTTTTGCCTAAGACTTTGGCGTGAGTCCTTGTACATGCACATTATTGACATAGGCTCTTTTGTTAGCAGTAATTTTCCAATGGATCGATTATTTCCTTGGCAAGCGTGCGTTTCAGATTGAATGAAGGCATTAAAGTATTAAAACAGTAAATTAACTCGTATGTATGCAGGCCTAATGTATTTCAAACACCTCCAATTAAGATTGTAAAATAACGTGCAAAGTCATTGTTAGTTTTGGTTTGGAAAAAATATTATGTATCATAACTGTCTTAAAAATCATAGCTACGAGTCTTAACAATTATTATCTCTGCAATTTTTAACTTGTCATTATACTTTGTCATTATAATTATAATCGGCTAGCACAGCTAGAGTCCACAGCTACGTGTGGACAAAACCTTAAACATAGCCAGAACCTGCGCATTGCAAAGTTAAATAATTCTTATTTTCGTATCGTTAATATGGAGAAAGTATTTTGATGGAAATATGATTAAAAGAAGCCTTAATCAAACAATTAAAAAAATGTAGACAAAACTTAATCCTTGAGGTAATTATAACCGGCTAGCACAGCTAGAGTCCACATATTTATGAAACTGTAGGATTACTATTTTGGTATTTTCATGGGAAAAAATTTTGACGGAAATATGATTAAAAGAAGCCTTAGTCAAACAATTAAAAAAAATGTAGACAAAACTTAATCCTTGAGGTAATTATAATCGTTATGTATGGACGCGAGGACAAAACAGAGAAAAATACCTCGTTTTTTTGAAAAATAGCCGGCTACGTGTGGACAAAATCTTAAACATAGCCAGAACCTGCGCATTGCAAAGTTAAATAATTCTTATTTTCGTATCGTTAATATGGAGAAAGGATTTTGATGGAAATATGATTAAAAGAAGCCTTAATCAAACAATTAAAAAAAAATGTAGATAAAACTTAATCCTTGAGGTAATTATAACCGGCTAGCACAGCAATATTTCAGCGCCTTAGAACACAGCCAAGTATAATATCTTGGGACGGTTCTGGACAAGTCAAACTTGAGGGAGTCACCATTCCGCAATCAAACATAACAGATCTAATTAGCGATGCTGTGAGAGGAAGGAAAAATTTCAATCCTAAAGGGTCTAAAGAATTCTTTCGTGTTTTATCAAAAATAAACATTCCACGAGGTTTGGTTAGGAACGATATGAGATGGAAGGAGGCTCAAATGGAAACTTCACCACATGAAGAAAACGAAACAGTTTATCCTATTTCATCAAAAAGGAAATTCATAACGCCCAAAGCTTCCACTACACACAAGAAAACTCAATTACGTTGGTTAAGCTATTAATATGTCTTGTAAAGGATTTTTTCTTTAAATAAAAATTGCAGTTGATATCATTTTCCTTTTTGTTGTCAATGAAAATATGTAAATACAAAATGCAAGCAATTAAGTCACACAAAGAACTTTTTATTCATTATTAAACACTTCAATATTTTACAAATAAGTTTGTACTTGACTGATTTCCGTCGTTAGGGATTACACTAGTTTCTATTTGAAAATGTTTGTTTACAAAATTCGATACCTTCCTATCGTTTTCAACAGTATTACCATCAAACATGCTTACAATTCTACTCATACTATGACCTCGCACTCTTTGGCTTAGGTAAAATATACAATGTTGTCCACATACATCGGTCCAAATACTTTGTAATTTGCGTGCATTAAAATCCCAATCATAATGTTTCAAATAGTCTCTAAAGAATTTATGATAAGTCTCAGGCGACTGGCCATAGCTGTCGAAGAATTCGGCTTTTCGTTCAGACGGAAAGTAAAATGCAACCCAATGACTTCCAGGTTTTCCGCTGATATCGGTGTTTGCTATAAAC